AGTGGCCCTTCGCCGGCGGAACCCTTGGCGCGGGCCCCCCTCGGGGCTTCCCGGCCACGGAGTGCGCTGAGATGTCGGCGACTTGCGCGCTCGGGCTTGGCCCCCCCGTGGCCCCCAAGAAGCAAAGGTCAGAGAGAGCGCGCTCGCGACACATTTCTCACGAAAAGGGGGGCCCCAGCTTCCAGCCACCCCCCGGCTTCCGAAGCCACCTTCCCCCTCCCCCCTGCCCTCTTTCGCGGGCATTTTTCAATTGGGGAGGCCCCAGCACAAGGGGGGCGGGGCTTGGAAGCTACCTCCCTTCGCCTCCTTTTCGGGGCCTGGGGTCAGCCCAGGCTCTTCTTTCAAAGGGGGGGAGGGCTTCCGATGCTACCCCCCCCTTCCCTGTGGTTCGATTTTGTAGCTGGGGGATCCCGCCTGGTTAAAGGGGGGGGTGCTTGGAAGCTGCCCCCCTCCCCTCCTTCTGCTGGCTCTTCCAGCTGGAGGGCCCTGGCTGTAGGGGGGGCTTCGCAGCTACTTTTCTTCTTTGGTTTCCAGCGCCCCGTTGGTTTTCGGCGTACTTGTGGTTTTCGGCGTTTCTTTGGTTTTCGGCGCCTCTTTGGTTTTTGGCGCCCCTTGGGCCTTCGGCGGCCCTTGGTTTTCCTTTGGCTTTAGACGCTTCTTTGGTTTTCGGCGCTCCTGTGGTTTTCGGCGCTCCTTTGGTTTTCGACACCCCTTCTAATTTTCTGCGCAGCCTTTGGTTTTCGGCGCATCGTTGGTTTTCGGCGCCCTATTGGGTTTAGGCGTCCCTTCGTTTTCCAGCGCCCTCTTGGTTTTCGGTGCCCTTTTGGTTTTCCCTGCCATTTTGGTTTTCGGCACCGTTTTGATTTTTTCGGCGCTCTTGGGTTTTCGATGCACCTTTGGTTTTGGGCGCCCTTCGGCTTTCGGCGCGCCTTGTTTTTTGACACTCTTTGGTTTTCGACGCTCTTTTGGTTATCGGCGCGTGTTTGGTTTTTTCGGCGCCTCTTTAGGTTTTCGGCGTACCCGTGTTTTTTTTGGCTCTTTGTGGTTTTTGGTGCCCCTTTGGTTTTCGGCGTCCTTTTTGCTGTCGGCGCTTTGTCCGTCTTCGGTTGCGTTTTCGGCGCCCTTTTGGTTATCGGCGCTCCTGTGGGTGGTATTTCGGCGCTCTGTTGGTTTCGGCGCATCGTTGGTTTTCAGCGCCCCTTTGGTTTTCGGCGCTCTCTTGGATTTCGGCGCCCCTTAGATTTTCGGTACCCTCTTTATTTTCGGCGCCCTTTAGGCTTCTGGCGCATCTTTGGTTTTCGGCGCCTTTTTTGTGTTCGGCGCCTTTGCGATTTTCGGCGCTCCTTTGGTTCTCGGCACCCTTGTGGTTTTCGACGCCCTTTGGTTTTCGGTGCTCCTTTGGTTTTCGGCTCCGTTTTGGTTTTCGGTTCCCTTTTGGTTTTCGGCGCCCCTTTGGTTTTCGGCATCGTTTTGGTTGTCGGTGCCTCTTTGGTGTTCGGCGACCCTTTGGCTTTTGGCGCCATTTTGGATTTCGGTGCTCCTTGAGTTTTTGTCGCTGTTTTGGTTTTCGGTGCTTCTCTGGTTCTCGGCGCCAATTTTGGTTTTCGGCGCCTCTTTGGTTTTCGGCGCCCCGCTGGTTTTCGTTTTTTTTTGTTCTCTGGTTTTCGGCGCTTCTTTGGTTTTCTGCACTCTGTTGGTTTTCGGCGCCCTTTTGGTCTTCGGCGTTCCAACCTTTAACCAAAGGGGGGTGGGTGGCTTCCAAGCCCCCCTTCCCCTTTAGCCCAAAAAGGGGAGAGCTAAGCCCTCCCCCCACTTTGGAAAAGGAGGGTGAAGGAGGGGGGGTAGCTTCCGCGGGGCAGTAACAAAGGACGAAAGAGGGCCTTCGGGAAAGGGGGTTTAGAGGGGGGGGAGGGGGCAGCTAAGCTCACCCCCTTTTGGACAGGGAGTGTGTGTGTGTGTGTGTGTGCCCCCAGAACGCGAAGGGGGGGGTAGCTTCCGCGGGGCGGAGCAGGAGGAATGGAGGGGAGGGGGGCTTCGGCAGGGGGGGTCAAAGGAAGGGCGGGGAGGTAGCTAAGGGGGGACCCCCCCCCCACTTTGGGAGTGTGCCATGGGAGCGCTCTCTCGTCTATCACTCCTGCCTATAGGGCACCTCTTGCGTGAAGCCCAGGTCGGTGCCTGGGCACTCCTGGGTCTGAGGCTGGTACCGAGGAGGAGGAGGACGACGAAAACTAATAATAATGATAAGCATATTAATAATAAGAAACATACGAATAACACTCATATTAAGAGTACTAATAAGCAAACTACCATTACTATTACTATCAATAATACTGATATGGTTAATACTGCTACTCTGAATCGTACTATCAATACTAATCTTATTGGCAACACTACTATTAATACTACTACTGATACCGCTACTGATAATAGTGTTATCAACACTCATACTATCACTATCAGCACTAATACCACTCATCCTACGACTGCTCTTAATAATAAT